TTAAAAAGACCTGGTCACTCTTAAACGTATCCTCCGAATGCTCTCTTCAGCTACCGGTGTTTCCTATGTTTTTATTTAGTTGAAATTATAGTACAGCGGCACTTTAAAACGGTCAAGCAATTTGCTGATCGCAACCTTAATGAGGTCGTTCACCCTCTCCACTCTGAACTAATGGCTGCGAAGTCTTCGCGTACAATACGTCGAGACTTCCGTCATATGTCTTGCCGTACATCGCTATATCAGCACTCTCACATTCCCGGCATGCTACCTCACGTGTGAAGAAGCGGAAATCGAGAAGTTGAAAGCTGATCTGTCCCCATAGTGGATGTGGATATCGTGTAAAACTTTAATTTTGAGTATTACATGACCTTTTACCATGACCCCTTATTTACCTTAGCCTTTGCTTTCCGTGAATGAAGCCATTTTTTCTGAAAGTTTAGGATTTTCCATTCTAAATATAGCATTCCTCGCTCTCTCGCTCTCTCTCTTAACACGGAGGAGTTAATGGGATTAACGGTACCTACGGATACCTACACATTACATGTGATACATGGACACATGGAAAGTTCCTCAACAACAGTGAATCTACTTATCATGGGCAACTCAGTCGTTGGGTAATCAGAGGAATGAGAAAACCTAATTTAACCTTGAACAAAAAATCGACGACAATAAACGAAAGCCATACATGTGAATTCTAGTGAAATCGGCAATATATGTATAGCGTTACTACCGCCGAAGGTCCAAGATTGCATGCTTTGCTCCTATTAGTGAGCGCACACCAAGCTTCTACCTTCCACAATAACAACATGGCATACTGTTAGTAGCATGCTTTAATGATAATTGAATTTACTATCTCTGTAACAATACATGGGGTTTAGACATTACCTATATCCCTGATATATACTTAACAAATTGAAGACTGCGTCTGCGCAGAAATACTGACAAGGAGAATAACATAAGATTACCAAATACACACATATATATAACACAAGATAAATCCACTTACATGATTGAGAGCTGGTAACTGCGATGCACGAGGGCATTCCGCTGATTCACCAGGCTGAACCATCGTCGCATCAGGTTCTCCTCTTCGGTACCATCACCACCTCCCCGACTCATCACTTCACGCAGCTTCTTTTCTAGAGCCGGTGCCTCCCTATCGAGCAACTCCTGCTGTTGGGCAATGGCAGCCTTTTCAGCCATGAGGCTAGGGTACGATCCCAGACTCAAACAGGAAGCTTAAAAATGAAATTAATGTGTCTACTGAATATTAGTGAGTAGCGGTTTAGAGTTAATACAAGAAGTGAACGACATAGGGAAAGGAGTTGGATGCATTAAGCATATTTAGGAAAGGTAGAGAAAATCTGACATCAAAGTTACTACATACCAAAAGAATCCTGGTTGTTCCGGTCCTGAAAAAAAAGGATGAGGACCAAAGAAAGAATTGTAAGAGTATTTTGATAAGTAATGATAAAAAAGGACAATAAATGCCAACACAAAAATACACTTTCTGCTGGAGGTTTTCGCACAATACTATTAAAGAAGACATACACACACAGAGAGACTCACATGATCGCTAACACCGTTGGTATAAGTGGACCTGCCTCGGGATGAACTCCGACGACGCGGTTCCAGCCCATCGGAGAAGAGCTTCAAGTTGGATAGCTTCAAGCGGCGGATTTTCACGCTTGACGGTGGGTTCACGTTCTCGCCAGCCTGGTCCGCTTGGTCAAACGAGGAACTATCTGGATAGATATATAGAGAGAGGAGAATTTAATAAAAT